CATCTGTGTCTAGTCTGCTGTTATATTGATTCACTAACTCTTTTTTCCCCATTACTCACACTTTTAAAAATATTTCTAGGAGTTCTATTTGTTTGGCTTTTCTTTCGAATATTTCTGAGCATTTGAGAGTATCTTAGATTGCTAATTTTTAGATTTCATCATTTTTTTAAATTTTTCTTGTATACTTTATATTCTATATCTGGTTACGCTAATATGGAAAGTTTGAGGGAATATAAATCTCTGTCTATTCTCCTCTTTCCTTCTCTACCACTTTTCTCTTGACTCATGATTCCTTATGTTTTAGATGATCTTTTTGAGCTCATGTTTGATTCATCTGTGGGACTCCAGAGTGTCCTATGCTGGGAATACTTTCCTCCAGAACTGAAGGAGGTTTCCTTTGCACAGTCCTCCCTTTGATGTGGGTGTCCTGAGTCCAGGTGTCCCATGTCCTGCTGGCCTGAGATGCTGCTAACCCACTTTGTTTGCCCTTATTTGCCACTCACATTTCCCTGCTCAAGTTTCAAATCACTTTTTTTCTATATTTAAGTTTCAAGTGATTGTGGGCTTAGAAAAAGCCTGTTTGTTCACTAGTGAATGAGACTGTTTGGTTCTCACAAGCTTCCTTTGCCACAACAAAAGCTGTGTCCCATCAGGCTGGCCTGTGCTGCTGTAATTGATCAAAGTATGCCATTTTATTTGATGCACATGTGGTTTTGCAGCCATAGGTCAGCATAAAGAGCCATGACCTGTCTGAAGTTAAAAGTTCAAAGGGAGTCCTAGGTTGATGTCAGTATCAGCTCATTGATGCTGATCAAAGTCGCCTATAAGCTGGAAGAGAAGAAGCATGAACTCATTTCTCCTTTGTGAACTACAGCAGAGGGAGAGATCAAGAGGGCATTTGTGACACAATTTTTAAAAAGGCAAATGTGTTAGGAACAACTTAGGGTGGCCCCAGATATGGACAGTGTTTTGGACTATTCTTGCTGTTACCATTTGTATGGAATGCACATGTGCCCAGTCTTGCTGCAGTGCAAGGAAAAAGCACTCAGAAGTTGCCTTTTCTTTGGCTTTTCATGGATCAGTAGGGCTGGCATTTCTCCTGCTTCTTACCTGCATACACACTATTCAGGACACACTGGCTCCCACATCCTTTCCTCCCCTCGCCCCAACTCTCCTTGAGAAGCAGGTGTTGTATAGATGGTCTGGGTAAGGACTGCCCACCCACCAGCATCAGCCCATCCCAGCCACAGTGAATGGTTCATTTTGGGTGCATCTTGCACACGGCCAATCCCAGACACTTTCCTTCCCCTCCTGACTCTGATGGTCTGCCCAGTGATGCGACACTCTGCCATGGAAAAAAGGTATGGGAATACCTAGTGGGCAAAGGTATGCCCAACAGACACAAGGCAGTGTTGGGGAGGCCGCCTCAAGCATCCCACCACATCCCAGGTCCTCACTTGTCCCCTCAGTGCCTGGCTGTCACCACCACACATTCTGTCTCCCCCAGGAGGGTACAGAAGGGTAGAGAAGGGGTTCAGCCCTTCCAGGCTGAGCCTCAGCAGAATTAAGTCTCTCCTCCCTCACTGCTGTGCACAGCTTTGGCGCCTGTGAGGTGTGAGGCCTGCTCATCCTAGAGCCCAAGGCTGTCCACCCCAGGAAAGCCAGCAAGCCACAGGAAGTCAAGGACTGTCTCAAGGCCAGCTGGGATGACTTCTTGGCATCACCTTCAGCTTAAGTACTGGAAATCACTGGTTTTGTAACAGCAAAACACAAATATGTTAGTGTACCCCTTCTAAGAAAATCACTGAGAAAAAGTATTCAAAAAAATATGCAAGGATTTTCATTATCAGCTGACCCTGAGGGTGAAGGCAGCCAACCAGAGGAAGGAACCCTAAACCTAGGTGGGAGTGCCGAGGCCATCAAGGGGCCAGCAACAGTCCAGGCAGGAGGAGGAGCAAGACTTCAGCTCCCAAACCAGCTCTTCTCCTATGTTACATTAAAAATAGCCCAGCCCAGGATCCGCCTGCAGCCAGCAGATACCTCACAGTTGTTGGCGGTTACTGCCAAGAGCCTTCTGGTCTCTGCTACCTCCAGATGTGGGGCCTGTGGGTTTCCCTTCTCTGCTCTCATTTCCTGCCAGCTGCCATGGGGGCAGCTCAGGCTGTGCACCCTCGGTTGGTGGCCGTACCTGCTGGTCACCTGTGTTGTGGATCTGGCCTGGGCTGCCTGGGATAACACACAGAGACAGGGAATCATAGGCCTGTCATGTTGGGAACCTCAAAAAGGTGGTGGAGACCTTTGAAGAAATAATTTTTCCAAAAGCAAGAGGTTCTCTCTGTTTCCTCCTGGTGCCAGCTCGCTTTTTTATACCATTTTATTATGAAATATAAAAGACATCCTAGTACACAAACAAGTAGGTACAAATTAATGAAAGATTATCAAGCCAACACAAGGCAGTGTTAGCAGAAGACCCCTCCCCTCACCCCCACTCATTCCTGAGCCTTGTGTCCTCATCATACCTTGCTTTTTGTTGGTTTTATTTGTTTAGTTTTTTCCACCTACATGTACATCTGTAAACAAAACTGTTGGCTCTTGTCAGTGTGGGGACTTTGTACATGCAGAGTTATAGGGTCTGCTTTATGTGGGGGGGGTCATCTATGGTTTGTACAGCTGCTGTCGTTCATTCTAGTGCTTTATAATGCTCTGTCGAGTGAATGCCTACAGCTTATTTACTCACACTGTGTGCAGCGAGCACCCAGCTTGTGTCCCGTTTTGACGGGACAGCTCAAACTGCTGCAGCAGCCCAGTGTGCTGTCTGGGGACACAGCACATGTCCCGCGTGCCTACAAGAAGAATCTCTGACCCATGGGGACTTCAGATGGTTTAACTGCGGGAGCTGATCCCTAATTGCTTTCCAAAGTGGGTAAAGCAGTTTCCGCTCTCCCCAGCAGCATAGCAGGGCTTCTGTTGCTGCCCATTCTCAGCAAAGCTTAGAATTACTTTGAATTTTGCCAGTCTGAAGAGTGTGGAATGTGGCCCACGGTGGGCTTCATGTGTATCTGCCGGATATCTGACGAGGTTGGCTGCATCCCCTCCCTGCATAATCTGTGGTCCTCCATATCAGTTTTAACAAAGTGTAAGGCAAGATAGAGCAGTACAGAAACCAGGGTTCAGATCTTGCTGATTGTCTCTGTGCCCTTGAGGTTGCAGACATGAAAGAGAATATTGTGGCGTGGCCTGTTGTCATCACGCCCCCAAGGCAGCTTGTTCATGGCTCATGTGTCTATTGGTAATGCTTTGGCATTCGTATAGTTCTTTCTCCCACCCATCCTGTTAGCCGCTGATGTATATGGAATAAACAAAGCAGACAAAAATAGTTCCATGCTATAAAATGGCTGCTTTACGGAATAGACTCAGTTCTCTCTTCATGTAAAAATATGTTTTACCATATGGTTTGGTTAAAATTTTTTTTTTTTTTTTGGTTTAACAGTCACCACTTACTGGCTGTGTGTCAGTGTAAGGGCACACATACTTTTGTACAGCTGGCCACTATGGCTGGTTGCAAGGAAGGAGCTACTTTCATGTAGGAGGTTTAGCACGGCTGCTGGTGAGGCTACGGAGAGTCTGGGTGTGTGTCCCACACCCTCGCCAGCAGCCCTGGGCAATGGGGTGTGGAGGACAGTTGTCCACAGTGCATGGCCACATGCTCCTTGAAAAGACACTTGTTTTTAGAGTTACAACCTACCATGCCATAGTTTAGCTTTTAAGTCTCAGGTTAGTTTCGAGATGCATCTCAATGGCAGGGGAAAGGAAAGCATGGCCACATCTGGCTCTGAAGTCCACCTCATCTCTCGTGGCCATGGATCTGACCTCTAGCAGCTGAGAGGAGACATCAGAACCTCCCCAGCATACATTCAGGGGTCCCTGGCAGCCAGGCCCAGTTGCGCTCTGCCCTGAGCATGGCCCATTTGGGTGAGTTCCTTGGCAGTTTGGGCCCTCAGCTTCCTCAGTGGCTGAAGAGGCTTCCTGGGACTTTCAAAACTCACCCATTCTAAGGCCTCATGATCTGAATGGCTGGAGCTGCTGAAAGGGGAGAAGAGGGCAGCAGCTGTGATAGCGGAGAAGCTAAACTGGGGACTCATTCCCTTGTCATCCCTTTTGCCCCCACCTGGACCTTGACCTCCTCAGGTCCTCCAGGTCTCCTTGGTGGGCCTGTTGCCCACCTGTATGTCAGAGGTCTCTCTCTCACGCATTGTGGTGGGTTGTTTCTCTGTTGTTAACAGACTATCAACTCTCAGTTCACCAGGACCTGGGGCAGGGGCAGCGCTGAGGGTCACTCATAATTATAGGGACAGTGGAGCCTTCGGCTGGTCAGCTCTGGTTTCACCTGCTGCTCCCTCATCCCACAGTGGATATTGTTTTCTCCTTCCTGGACTTTATCTGAAAGTACCATTATCTGAATGATGTTTTCATTGACACCTGCTGTCCCTTCTGTGCAATTGGGAGAGCGGGAGGGGCGAAGATGGCGGGCAATGGGGCCTGCACATCCCTGCATCTGTGGCCCAGAGGCTCCTGGCTAAAATGCCCACTAGACACCCCAGCTGCAGGCCCAAGCCAGGTGTTGGTGCTGTCCATCTGTGGCTATGACACAAGTGCAGACCTCAGTGAAGAAAGGTGAGTCCAGAAGACTCCCCAGACTGTCAGGGCCCCAGGGATGGAATTGCTGGCCAAGTATCAGGCTCTCCTGATCACCACCCAGAGCTCCCTGCTGGACCTGAGCCATGGTCCAGCCCCAACCTGCTAGCATTTCTTGTTGCAAGCTCACTGGTGGCATCCCTGAACCGTGAGCTAGCCTACCTGGGTAGGTTGGACAAAGCTCTTGACCCCAAGACCCACAGGTTCTGGAGAGTGGCTACTGACCACATGGGCCAGGGCGCTGTCCCCAGGCTCCCTCCTTGGACTGGCAGGCCTGGGCTGATGCACCCTGTCCTCTCTTGCAGGATTAGGGCTAGAGACAACAATGGCTCCTACGCCCTGTGCCTGTTACATGAGGGGAAGGTGCTGCACTACCGCATTGACAAGGACAAGACCGGCAAGCTCTCCATCCCCGAGGGGAAGAAGTTTGACACGCTCTGGCAGGTACCCATCCTCCCCTCCAGGCAGGCACCGGGCACTAGAGGCCTCCTGCCCCACAGATTTCAGACTTGAGAGGAACCAGGCCACCCCATGCTGCTGCTGTGCTCCCAGACCCACAGCAGCCCGGTTCCTGCCCCACCTGCCCCATCAGAGGTTCTAGAATTTTCTTTTTTTTTTGAGACAGAGCCTCAAGCTTTCCCCCTGGGTAGAGTGCCATGGCATCAGAGCTCACAGCAACCTCCAACTCTGAGGCTCAAGCGAGTCTCCTGCCTCAGACCCCCAAGTAGCTGGGACCACAGGCGCCCGCCACAACTCCCGGCTATTTTTTGGTTGCAGCCGTCATTGTTGTTTGGTGGGCCCAGGCTGGGGATTCAAACCCATCACCTTAGGTGTATGTGGCTGGTGCCTTAGCCACTTGAGCCACAGGTGCTGAGCCGGTTCTAGAATTTTCCATCTTATCCACCGTCCCTCAGCCCTCGGTGCCTCAAGGGGATGTCCAGTCAGGGCTGTGTTCAGAGTTTTAATAAAATGCCCTATGCTGGGGAGCTAGGAAATATTTCTTTCTAAGATATTCTAACTAGAACACAGAAAGGCAAAATGAATACACACAAAATATTGTAGGAACGGAGGCTTGGGCATGGCGAAGCAGACCGTTCTGGGAGCTAGAGAGGCTGAAGGGCGTACTCAATGCCAGGTGCCTTCCTCATTGCAAGTCGAATCTTTCTGTGTTAATTAAAGCAATTTAGGAAGTAAGTACTTCCTGCAGTCCAGGCTGCCACTTGTACGGGAGTGTTCCAGCCTTGGTCTAAAAGGGGCTTGTTGTTGACCTAGTTATTCATAAATCCTCAAACAACTCAAATTTGGGAGCTAATTAGGCACTGAGGAGTTCTAAACATGCTCTAAAAATAATGCTCCTCACTGCTTTTTGTGGATCTGTGTTGAGCACAAACTGCCCGTCTTCCTTTCACATCCCAGCTGTGTTGGCTGACCCAGGAGACACAGTAACAGTAACAGGCCTGCGTGGTCTCGGCAGAGCATCCGCAGTCCCGGTGCACTCAGAGACAGGAGAAACCAACCCTTGGGAACAACAGCTGCCTCACCTGTGGGGCAAGGGGCGTCATCGGGCACAGCCCTGTGTCCCCAGCCCAGCCAGGAACCACACACTCAGCTAATGTGGAGGAAAAGGCCCAAAGTCCTGTCATTTTAAAAACAGAGACCACAGACCCTCGGTCCCTTTGAACTTCAAGTAACTACTGTCTAATGTGATTTGGTACCTAATGCTGTCATTGGAAAAGAAAATACTGCTTTATCAAATGCCAGACATTATAATACTCTAACATATTAATCATGACATTAACGTTGTCTTTTGCTTTTGTGGCTGGTTAGCAAATCTCATTATCGACCACAGCCTCTATTTTAATTGTCTTGATTGGAAACAGTAGTTAACCTGTCCAGTGCTAGCCTCCTAGAGCATGTCAGGGATGTTAGTCAGGAACATTGCCTTCTGGCATGTAAGGCATCTGAAAGCCTATATACGCCAGACAGCGTCAAAGGCTGTGCATTCGGCATAATACCAAATATCTCAATGGTTGAAAACCGTCTTCCCAAGGCCCTTTACTATTTTTACTGGTTCCTCTGCTAAATCATGGTATACAGGCCCCTAATTAAATATTAGTATTTCTAACTGTATATTTTCTAGGCACTGTGGTTAGGAAAGTGCATCAAAATTTCCAGTAAAATCTTCCATTTTGATGTGCATGGTCTCATTCGTTTACCTTGACAGCATTGGGAAGTGCCTTTGTTCCGGGGCACTTCCGGGGCCCTGCTACTATTTTCCTGAGACTCGGTAATTTCTGCACCACCCTATTTTGATATTCTTTTCTATAGCCCAGGGATCTGCAAACCCACAGACCAAATTTGGCTTTAGACTGTTTCTGTGTAGTCCTGAAGAGATACTTTTTATGCTTTTAAGGAGATTGTTTTAGACAAACAAATAGATAAGGAACAGGTGACAGACACAGTGTGAAGCCCACAAAAACCTAAAATATCACTATCTAGACTTTTACGGAAAAAGGTTACTGCCCCCAGCCCAAGAGGGAAATCCCAGCTGTGTGCCCATCTCTCCACCCGCACCCACACCCAGACACCACAGATGGTGGACTCTCTGTGAACAGAAGCTCTTACTGTCCTGGGGTCACTGTCACCAAAGGACAGTCAGCAGCTCAGTCATGATTTCTCTATTTCCTGATCTCGTTATTTACCTCGTTTTCTTACTTTCTTCTCTTTCAGCTAGTTGAGCATTATTCTTATAAAGCAGATGGTTTGCTAAGAGTTCTTACAGTTCCATGTCAAAAAATCGGCACACAGGGTGAGTTACTGAGACATTGGAGTCTTTGTTTTTGACATACTGGTCACAATCAGCCTCATTTTAAATTTGTCGTATTGCAAATTCAGGTTAGATGAGGCCTTATTTTTACCAACTGATTAAAATGCTGTCAGGTCACTCTCATTTTGTATATTGTGAATCAGAAAATAGCTGAGTGCTTTAACTTTACAAAACCAATTTGTTTCCATGGCATGTGGCTAAAATGTAAAGGGAGATTAAAGAAATGTTGGGGAAAGTGAGAGCTTCTCACTCAGGGCCCATCAAATCCCATTGAGGGATCCGCAGTGGGGAGAACTGGGTGGTTTTTGCTGATAGAACAGTAATGGTCCCCACTCTTCCTAACCAGGAAATGTCAATTTTGGAAGCCGTCCGCAACTTCCAGGTTCCCATCCTGCGGTAAGTGTCATTAGGACAACCTCCTTGTCACAAACGGGAGGCACGCTTTGACTGCAAGGGTGGTGGCCACTGTTGCTTTGATTGCCCCTCACAACACACCCCTTGATAAACCAAGTTCACTACTGAGTGTTGGGTGGGATCAGCCCCTCCGCAGTCCTCCATTAGCCATGTTTTCTTCATTTCTCAGCTAGGTTAAGTTCTCCTCATTTTCAAAAAGTGTATACAGTGAGGATGAAATGCAATGTCAAATCAGAAATAGGCATCCTGTCAGATCTGGGAAATAGTTTCATCCTTGAACCGTCCATGTTAACACACATCCATAATCCACGGAACCTCACCTCTCTTCTTCCAGACTCTTAGGAGCTTGTGTACAACTTATACTCAAAGTAGAAATTAGTTTCCTGCTCCTTTCTTGGGGACTTCATGAACTTTTGATGCCCTTTAATGCCATCCCTGAAGTCTACCCTCTATACGTTTTGACTATTAACCTTTGAAAAACATCTACAGGCTCAGCGCCTATAGCTCAACCGGCTA